AAGTGTAGCAGGCGTAGCAAGTGTAAGCTGGCGTGGCAAATGTAGGAAGTGTAGGAAGTGTACCAGGCGCAGCAAGTGTAGGAAGTGTGGAAGGCGTAGCAAGTGTAACAGGCGTAGCAAGTGTAACAGGCGTAGCAAGTGTAACAGGCGTAGCAAGTGTAACAGGCGTAGCAAGTGTAACAGGCGTAGCAAGTGTAACAGGCGTAGCAAGTGTAACAGGCGTAGCAAGTGTAACAGGCGTAGCAAGTGTAACAGGCGTAGCAAGTGTAACAGGCGTAGCAAGTGTAACAGGCGTAGCAAGTGTAACAGGCGTAGCAAGTGTAACAGGCGTAGCAAGTGTAACAGGCGTAGCAAGTGTAGAAAGTGTAGCAAGTGTAAGCAGGCGTGGCAAGTGTAGCAAGTGTAGCAAGTGTAGCAGGCGTAGCAAGTGTAGCAGGCGTAGCAAGTGTAGCAGGCGTAGCAGGTGTAGAGCTAACCCCCTCCCGGTTAGCTCAATTGGTTAGAGCGCTGGATTGTTGTGCCGAAGGTCGAGGTCGATAGTTCGAGGCCCGGCCGGATCAACACTCAAGGTCTTAAAATAACTGAGGAGAATGCGCCACCTTTCTATAATATCGAGAAATGGATAGACATTCTAATAGCACGTCCTGGAAAATGGAAAGCACAGTACGTAAGCGGTTTTTTGGAAGTAGGTTTTTCTTTTTCGTTTTAATATTATTTAGCCAATACTTTTGCGATCCCTTCATGGAGAAGCTCTGCTAATGCGGTTACACTTCGAAAACAATATATTTTTGTATTCTCGCCTTCTCCACGTCCGCTGCTTTTTGCCTTTAATAATCCGAGTACTAGACTTTGCTTTGGTTTGATTATTTTACGTGCCAGATAATTATAAAGTATCGTTTCGACGAGGTCCACACAATGCAAATAATATGTAAGTAAAGTGGCTGAGTGTTCTGAAGTTACTGTTTGGCACTTGCAGGTTCCATACTTTGTCTCGTTGCTTTGGCCAAAATGTTGTTCCATTCCAGTTGGCGTCTGCATTTACACTTGCAAGAATCTTGAGAAATACCACAACTGCGAACGAAGTGTGGAGTAAGTAACAGCCGACGATAGAACTAATTATCGGAAGTTAATAGTCCCCGCTGCTTTTCAATCATGACTGAATTAGGACGAATAAACCTTAGGTCCCGTCTTCTGCATCTATCAATTAGTTAATTTGGTTAGGCAGGGGACGTTAAAGAACCCACTCACGAGATTACAGTGATGTGGTCTGGCCAGTTTACTGGGAACTCAGGGGAGGGGGCATTTTCAAATAAGTTTCCTTCGATTGTTTGTAAACTGCTGATGCAGTCCGGCCAAGGTCCCCCGAAAAGTGTTGTGATGCGCATTTGATCATATCCACATGTCAATTTGCGCAATATAAATATTAAATTATAAGGTGTAGCAGGGGTAGCAAGTGTAGCAGGGGTAGCAAGTGTAGCAGGCATAGCAAGTGTAGCAGGCGTAGCAGGCGTAGCAAGTGTAGCAGGCGTAGCAGGCATAGCAAGTGTAAGCAGGCGTGGCAAGTGTAGCAAGTGTAGCAAGTGTAGCAGGAGTAGCAAGTGTAGCAGGCGTAGCAAGTGTAGAAGGTGTAGCAGGGGTAGCAAGTGTAGCAGACGTAGCAAGTGTAGAAGGTGTAGAAGGCGTAGCAGGCATAGCAAGTGTAAGCAGGCATGGCAAGTGTAGCAAGTGTAGCAGGGGTAGCAAGTGTAGCAGGCATAGCAAGTGTAAGCAGGCATAGCAAGTGTAAGCAGGCATGGCAAGTGTGGCAAGTGTAGCAAGTGTAGCAGGGGTAGCAAGTGTAGCAGACGTAGCAAGTGTAGAAGGTGTAGAAGGCGTAGCAGGCGTAGCAAGTGTAGCAGAAGCGGCAAGTGTAGCAGGTGTAGCAG